GGATTTTAGTACGCCTGATTTCAGACAATTTACTGGTTTGCTTGCCTTTATATGAAGCTAAATCTGATTAGGTTTTGGGGCTTCTTGTTATTTGGTGTGAGAGAGCCTGACAGACACAGAGTGTCTCAAGTTCAAGAGCTGCTCAGTCTTTAAATATCTTAGTTTCAGTTCCTATAAGAAACTGCATCATTTCAGAAGAATTCTGGCCAACCCTTCTTTACAGCATTGCTTCATTTCATGGAGGTTTGCACATCCCTCTTAATGACTCAACACAGTATTTCTATCAGGCTAAGGTCTGGAAAGACTGGACTGGACCATTGCAACACTTTGATTCTTTTCTTTTTAAGCCATTCTGTTGAAGATTTGCTGCTGAGCTTGGGTTCACTGTCCTTTGTATGACTCATTTTAGTCTAGGCTCTAGCTGTCAAACAGATGGCCTTAACTTAATAATTAATAATAACTTACAGTAATAACTTACAGTAATTTGTGAGGGCCATGGCCACCTCAGTGACTGGAAGGTCACTGAACCCCGATACACATATTATGTATATACTTCATTTTGTTTGATCATTGTATTTGAAATAAGCTTGAATCTGGTTGGTACAGCTGTTGGTAGGTTAGGACACCTTAGTTGCACTGCACAGCAGCATGTGACAGTCAGAAGCCACACTTTAGCTATTAGGAGTGGCTCATTGTCAATGTTCCCATTCATTTTACCTGAATCCTTGAATCTCCCCCATCCTAATTATGTCCCTCTATCTATTTTTTTTACCACAGTAATTTCACCTTCCTGTGTCTCTTCCTCACTCTGTTGTTGGAACTGTTGTCCCTACAACAGCAGCCTCCTGAGACTGTGAGGGCTTGTTAGTAGTTGTTGCTGGTAGTACTGCTGACGTTGCAGCAACTGTATATTGGTTTGACACTTATTATTGTATTTATTTGCATTAAGAGATTTGATTTGATAAAAAAAGTGTTGGTAATAAAAATGAACAAATGACTTTATAGCCAATGTGCACCAGCCTACAAGTTCATCAGCCCACCACTCCAGCCCTGGTGCCCAGATCCTTTGGAGGCAAAATAAGCCCATATCATCAGGCCTTGACCAGTGTGCTTGACAACTGGTATGAGGTGTTGTCCAAATGTGGTGCTGTGCATTAGTCTAATTTGTTAAGTCTTTTTCTAATTGTACTGCCCTGAATTTTATCATTTAACATGTTAACAGAGGCCTGTAGAGTCTGAGATGCAGTTTCTTTGAGGATTGCATGGTCTGAGTTTGGGGTGAAGTTGCTGGGACGTCTACCCCTAGGAAGATTGACAACTGTTTTGAATGTTTTTCACTTGTCGATAATCTTTCTCACTGTAGAATGATGGACTTCATGTGTGAAGAAAACACGTTAGAGTAAAGGATACAAATTTGGTACTTTAATAAAATTCAGAGGTCATACAGATCAAATCACATTATAAACTTAAATAAATTAATGAGTAAAATTATGCATAATTTCTACATTCCAGAAACATCATTTTCATTACTCCTACCTGAAAGGCTGAAAAGAGATTTGATTTTCCGAGTCTGTCTCCAGACAAACTACATTCAAAGCAGCTCAGTTAAACATGTGACATGGCTACATATTATTATATGTTCATCTAAAACCTGACGGTGCTGACAGTGAGAGCAGAGACATGTGACACTGTTAGTGGTTATTTTGTGGTACAGACAAAAACCTAACAGAAGAGAAACCTGCAGACACAATGGCTTTGATGTTTTCATTAATGGCATCAGAAGCACACAAAGTAAAGTGCTTAAGATTAGAGCTTTTCAATCTCAATTGGATTTCAATTTCAACTTATTTCTACTGTAATTTATATTCCAATAAAGTGAGCGTAATCCACGGATAGATCAAGAAGCTGCAGTGTCTTTGCTGTGATGGTAAACGTTTATCATTGGAGAAAAAA